GACTGTATCAGCGCAGATTTTCCTCGCGCTTTGGACTTTGAACCCTGGTTAACAAGCAGATCTGCTGCGAGTTCGTGCAGCGCTGTCAGAATACATGCAATGCGCGCGTGTATTAGAAAACATAACGTTCTGCAGTTTATTTACTAATTGTTTAAGGCCATTTCGCGATTTCAATCATCATACAGTAACCAGCAACAATCACCCCTTCCTCTTCTCATTGAAGACATGCGATGCAGTCTTAAACCGTCTCTCGCTGTCGGTGCTTGTAATGATTTTTGCGTCTTTCTCCGACAGTTTAAATGCTTCCACACTGCTGACGTGTGTGCTGCATAATAAAGAGTGCGCGCCTCTCACTCTGCGCTGGTTGCTATTTGATCGCGTCATATCATTGTTCGGTACAATTTATTTGGTCTTTTCGCTTATTAGGCCGAACACCGAAAGAGCTTTTTTGCTATTTTCGGCCAAATAATTTCGGTTGCCGAACATTCGGTGCATCCCTAGAATAGATATATAGATTTTCAGCCTAATTATTGAAGTTTAATGACAAAATTACTATAGTTGCACACATTTATCCAGTGCGACTACACGTTTAAAATGTGCATGTGATGAGATGCTGATGAGATTTACGGTGTGTTTTGGAATTGTTCCTATGTGCGTGATGATATGAAAATTCATCAAAACACACAAGAGATTATTTCTGCCCTCTCTGCCATATTGACTCCATAAATGATTACCATCAGCTCTGTGGTTTGTTAATCTCTGTAAAACTGTCTTAAACCCTCACACACCTCGCGTCGAGTTTCCCTGAAGAGTAAAACTCTCTATCTTTTTACGTCTCTCGCTCTCTCTGTCTGTCCTCCTGCCAAAGTTGGCTAAGTGCGGAGTGAATGTGGAGACTCGTCCTACATTAAAGAGCATGTGTATGTTCAGAAGTAGGTCAGCGAGCCCCTGGCTGAAGGAAATGAGGACGCTTCTATCTGAAGGAGCTTTATTTTGGGCAGCCAATCCTAGAGGGCTTCATTTATCAAAGGCCCCTCTGTGAACTGCTGGCTCAGGACTGGAGCTCTGACTCCACTAGGGGGTGCCGTATGAATCCCAAAATCAGCGCCAGTTCTGGCTGCACACATTTACCATGTTTCTGAAATTTAGGACTTCGAATATGTTCAGAAAAGCATGCTAAAATACTACCTCTACTCTTAATGCAGTATGCATATTGTGTATAGTATGCAAATTTCCACATTTATCTTTATTGACTCATTATGTGATTGGACTGACAGGTGTTCACATAAAAACATTTTACACAAAATTGCATTACATATTTTTTCTTTTAAATTTTATATAATTGCGTTAAAAATATTTTTATTTACACATGTAACATAATGTGGACATGTGACAGCAGTGTAGCATACTATTTGAAATATTTATACTATACATACTACATTGTATGCAGTATACTGTAAGTATACATATAATGTATATTGCCTACTGTTTTTTAAATGGTATGTAAAACTGAAAAAGTATGCATTATGCCATGGTAAATAAACAGTACTGTACTATGTTTTTGAATTATGCTTTTTGTTTTGCAAAAAAAGTTTGGGTTACACTTAATTTTAAGGTTTTAAGGTGTCCTTGTTACAGTGTAATTATACATTTAAGTACTGAGTAATATTAATTAACTACATGTACTTACTATATGGTTAGGGTTTGGCTTAGGGTTACTTGCATGTAATTATGCATAATTAAGTGTTATTATAATAGTAAGTACATGTAACGTGTAACAAGGACACCTTAAAATAAAGTGTTACTCGTTTATTTTGTAATTAAATTAGGTAATTCTATTACATGTAACTAGTTACTCCCCAACACTGTCTATCATGACCCATGCATCACCATCAACTGATGTCTTCTTTCGAAGGCTGCGCCCTCTGAAGATCACATTTCTTGGCTGCATACATCATGGAACATGTAATTTCAAAAAAGTAAAATTATAAAATTGACTGTTCTACCTTATGAGGCGTACTGTAATTTCTTTCTTACTTTGCAATGGTTGCTTTTCTGAAATAAAACATCCTTAACGGCTACATTTACATGCAATCCATTAGACTGATGGCTCAATTGGACCGAAAAGCCTAAATGTAAACACTTTAATTGATTTGATGGAGCTTGATCCAAATGAAATTTCGATCAGATTGGAAGGGGTCATGTAGATCTTTCCTAATCCAAACGAAAGGACAGATAAACTCTGCTTTTTATAAAGAAAATAAGCAATGGTAGGAGAACGGTATGTGCAAACAGCAGGAAACTTTGTATATTCGTGCATGTCAAAAGATCAAAAATGATATCTGATCATATCCGATAAACTCGCACATCAGCCTGATCACTTCATTTAGCGTTCATGTAAATACTTTGTTTTGATTCATCAATCAGAATGATTTCATTCCAGCTGAAACAAATGGTGTCGATATAAACAGAGCCATTGACATATGCGGCTGACAAATGTGACCTCTGGATGGCGCAAACATTGAAATGAGACACAGCAATAGTGTTGGAAATGCTGCTACAAAACTGCGCCAAGCTACAAGCCACTCATCATATAGTAGTCCAGTGACAGCTGCTCTTTTGAAACATAGTTACAAGCATCTAAGACTTAAGGGATGCTTCGTTTTCTGTGTCCCGCTATCTTTTGTAGATTAAACACAACTAATTCAACTCGTAACTTGTTAGTAGAGACTGAAATGGAAATAGGTGTGTCAGATAAAAAAACGTGCTGTTGTTTACAGAAAAATCAGGCTATCAGCAAACGATGTGTTTGTGGACGTCATTGGACTGTACTGTGTCACATGCTCTGTCTGTGAGACGGAGCATAATGTGGACAAGTGAAGTATACTTTATTTTCTGAATGAGTGAAGTACTGATGTAACTAAGGGGGCCAACTTTAAGTTTTTTTTATGTTTTAAATCTATTAGTTTACTTGAATCATCTGAATGAGTTTCTCTAAAATAATTCAGACTTAGCAGTGAAACATGTGAGGGAGAAAACATTTCAGCAGAATATTGATCACTACCTCAGTTCACATGGCAGTAAAGCTGCATGCACAATGTAATGTGAAATAAAAAAAAGAGTCATTTTGTCACACTACACCACTTGTTAGAAAAAACTGGGAAACTATATTTAATACACAAAAATGTGGTTAAGTTAGGTGTGTTGCTTCTTTTTCTTCGTGCCTCCCTAAATCCAAAGTTCTCTCACGAAACTCTAGATGGCGCAGTCCGATAGGTCAAACTCAATCTGACCTAATGACATCATCACATGAACCAGCTGATTTTTCAACTCATTTTTGTATCAGTAGCCAATGAGCTCGCTGCTCAACATTCAAATATATGACTAGTGTTTGTTGTAGCAGTTGCAGCGCGCTTCAGAAACCCTCTCCTTCCCCAGCTCCACCTGTATAAGATCTGCTATGGGGTGATCATGTATGCTATATGGGGGTTATTCATGTTATATGTGCATCAGCTGTATCGGAGCACGGAACAGATACTATTTTGTGTGCGCTACTGTCATCATTACGACCGCAAACATATACTATTACTACTACACTACACTTTCAATTAATTTAATTCAATCAAGTATATTTAGGTTTATAATGGCTCTGGTTCTCACTATATTGATGAACAGGAAATGTAGTTTGCGAGTAAAGCTGCAAATTATTTAATTAACGTTAATTATTAGAAAGAATATTAGCGAAAGTGGTTTTCTCTGTTATCTCGCTCATGACATAAGCGTGCTCCGGCCCGGAAAGTTTAGTGCAAGTGTGAGTCCAGGCCAGCGGGCGAGTGGGGAGGGGGGATAATCACGCTCGGGCTCGGTTCAAGGCAACCGTGCCTAGTGTGAGTACACCTTTACATGCTCACAGCAGCATGTTGTGGATGTGTTGGCAGTATCACGTCGTTACTTGCTCTGCCGCAGCAGTGTAGCAGATCTATTCTGTCAAGACCAAACACATTCACATTACCTTGGTAAACCCTCCGAGAGTTGTCATGACAGAACTCTGCTCATTATGTAAGACAGGATATTTATTTACAATCCTAAATGAGGAGAGATGGGATCCTGCAGGAGTGCTATGCAGTGAACGGTACCTCTCGCTGTAGGGGGAGTCTCTGCAGGAGCCCTGGGTTCCTCTGGAGCTCTTCAGGTGATCGTTGAGCTGATGGACTCCTCCTGTAGCATTCAGACGCCCCCTGTGACCGGGCGTACCATGCCGGCAGTTCTCCACCGATGACTTGACCAGGACTGCGTGACTGTCAGAAACCACGCTCTCTGCTTTCCCATTACTCCAGCTGTGAGAAGCCAAAGCCAAAGCCACTCATCACACACATCCTCTAGTCATGTGCTGATCTTTCACCATGATTCTTCATCTTTAAACAGCCACTGTCCCTTGGTTTCAGACATACCACTTTCTCCAAAGTCATTTCAGTGGTTTCAATGGTTACAAAGACTTCTCGTGGATCTTACTTCAGTATTATAGGTGGTGTAGTACTTTAACAGATATTCACTAAACTTTTGGATCAGGTTTTTAAAGAAGACTCTTATGCTCATCAAAGTTGTGTTTATTTGATCAAAAATACAGAAAAAACAGTAATATTATGAAATATTATTGCAATTTAAAATAATGCTTTACTATTTTAATATACTTTAAAATATAATTTATTCCTGTGATGTGCAGCTGTATTTTCAGCATCATTACTCCAGTCTTCAGTGTCACATGATCTTCAGAAATCATTCTAATATGCTGATTTATTATCAGTGTTGGAAACAGTTTTTTCTGCTTAATTTATATATTTTTGGAAACTGTGATACCTTTTTTTCAGGATTCTTTGATGAATAAAAAGGTTTTAAAAAAAGAACAGCTTTTTTTTTTAAAGAGCCATTTAAATGTTTTTTTAAATAAATTAATATTTTTTCTTTCAGCAGAGATGTGCAAAATTAATAAAAAGTGATAGACATATTTTCTAACAATATAAATCTTTACTATTTTGAATAAATGCTAATCTTTTTAACCTGAAAAAGAATCCTGAAAAAAGTATCAAAGGTTCCAAAAAAATATTAAGGAGCACAACTGTTTCCAACACTGATAATAAATCAGCATATTATTAATAACAGAATGATTTCTGAAGGATCATGTGACACTGAAGACTGGAGTAATGATGCTGACAATTCAGCTTTGATCACAGGAATAAATTATATTTTTTTTTACAGTAGATTAAAATAGAAAACCATTATTTTAAATTGTAATAATATTTCACAATATTACTGTTTTTTTCTGTATTTTTGATCAAATAAATGCATCCTTGATGAGCATAAGAAACATCTTTGAAAAAACATAAAAAATCTTACTGATCCCAAACTTTTGAACGGCAGCCCTTGATTAGTCTCCCCAAGTGTGCCTTATCTTGTTTAGCTTGTTAGCCCCCTGTGTGTATATAAGTTAGCCCTAGTTTTTCTTTAGTTCCTTGCGAGTTGTTGAATGTAATGGTTGTCTGTTTGCCAGTCATTCTGTTCTTTGTTCCCTTTGGTTTTTGCCTTATTGTTTGTTCTAGTTTTTCCATGAAATACCAGCACAGAGATCCTTGCCTCTGCCTATTTTCTGCAGCTTCTCCACAACATTACAGTTTTTTAACTAGCGTGTCTCTTTGACTAGTGCATTTTTTGAGCCTATATTTAGTATAAGTAAAATACTTAAGTACTGTTAAAATCAGATACTCTAAGACTTTTACTCAAGTTGTTTTGGAATTGGTGACTTGTAACGTGTAGTGGAGTAATTTTCACTGTAAGGTATCTGTACTTTTACTCAAGTATGGTTTTTAGGTACTCTTTACACCTCTGACAATATGTAAAAAACATAAGGAGATAATGGTCAATCTGTCTTTTTAAAAAATCCTAAAAGAATGGGACTTCTATGCTACTGTGGCAGCCATGACTTTAAAGATATTAAATACACAAATACACTACAGAATAAATATAATGTTACAAAATAACTTCCTGTAAAGCTGCTTTGCACAGTTACACAGTTATATTGTACAATTATATTGTAGAGTTATATTGTACAAAGTTGTATATACAAATAAATATGACATGGTTTGAGTGACATTAGATTTTTCCAGCTAGTGATCTTGTGTGTATGCTGTTGTTATGTACTGTACTGTACCTCTGGCTGGAGGAGTGAGAGACAGCAGTGGACGGATGTGTTGATGAAGTAAACTCGTTTGTAGAGAGAGATGTTTCCACTTCTTTGTCCGTCACGTGCACATGAGGAGGGACGCTATTTTTCGGCATGTAATGCTGAAATCAGACAAAAGTCGATTGTTGTACCACTGTTTTTCTTTTACCATGTTATACACTTTGTTTAACAACAACTTTAACAGTTGTTTTTTTAATATTGTTTTTTAAAATTGTATCCAGAGGCTGTTTGAAATAAGAGAAAGTCAGTATAAACTAAGAGGAATGTGTATGTTTAAAAAAATATATAAGGGCAAGAACTAATACAAAAAATAGGTGTATATCTGTCAAAGGGGTAAATCTGTGAAATAATTGTGATAAGGAACTGAAATCATGCATTTCACTTTTCAAATTTAAGAAAATAATTAAAAACAAGGTGATGAATAAATTAGTGTATGTAATAAACTATTGAAACAATATCTGGAATGTGTATTTTTGTAATTATGTATGTACATTTGAAGAGAAATGTCTTATGTCACTGTTTTGTTTATCTTGTATTATCAAATCCAGTGAAAAAGTGACACTCTTCAGATAAATATGTATATTAAGCAAAAACCCCTTTTTCAGTTATCATATATATTTTTATTTATTGTGAAAAGGACCGAAATAAATTTAAGTTGAAGTTGAAGTTTTTAGGTGATTGTTACAATACTTGTTGACCACTAATCTTAACATAAATGGCATCATTTTCAATGTTCAACTTCTTATCTCAACACTGTTTTAAAGTGCAGTGTACAGGGTTAAACATGTTTCCGGTAACGGTACTCACATTGACCAGCTGCAGGTTTTCGGGTGGAGGGTGGGGGTGCTGAGGGCCTTTGGCCGCAGCGTTTCGCTCTCGTAAACTCTGCCGCAAACGATCATGCAGCTTCTTCCTCTGTTTCCTACATGTGCAAAAACACGAACAGCTCTTAGACCGCAGGAGAACGCATTCAACGACTATCAATAATTTTAGTTTTTGAGTGAAACATTAGTACAAACTAAGACATTTCAAAAAGGGAATTACTTTGTTTTGAAGCAAGCCACCACACACATGATGCCAACAACTAGAAGAGCGATGCAGATGCCTGTTATAGTCAAAACGCGTTTCTGATAGAGCTCCTCAGCTTCTGGAAGAGAGCACAGACTGCTTTTGAAGCTTCCAGGTGAAACACACACACATCTCAGTCACATTCTTACTTGGAATTTTCAAAATAATAACAGCTATGCCTAACAGATTTCCAAGTAAGAACACATGTATGTTTCCAGTGACGCTGGGGGTTTACTGCTACTAGGACACACAGATGCTTATTGATCTCAGGATGTAGTTTTGCTGAGAGGGGAGGGGAGGAGACAACGGGACGTGTTAATTCAAGGTCACTTCAGAATCATCATGTCATCACAATTACATGAAATGCAAACTCTGCAGGGCCCGAGGCCTCTGGGATGTCTTCAACACTCAGTCATGCATTTCACTCATTTCATTATGAGGTTTAATCACAACACTGACAGACTGCATTTATCGAAGCCTTCAGCAAGTTGTGTTCTTTTTTCATATTGTTCATTTGTTAGTCTGTTTTGATGTGTATTTTCGTGAACGTTCAATAGATATGGATGCTAAAGGCTTTAATAAAAAGTCATGAACTGGTAGTGGTGTAAACTCACAGTTTGGTAACAGAATGGCTGAAAAGACCCCGTGAAAATGTTTGACAAGCATATTTTTCTTTCCTGTGTTGACATACAGTTTGACATGGGTCATAGCAAATTTCTTATAAACTGGGTTTAGTTTACATGACATCCATTTGCTGCTTGCAATAGTCAAGGCGTGTGCAATCCTGCTTGTGGAGGGCCACTTTGCTGCAGAATTTAGCTCTAACCCTAACTGAACACATCTAATCAAGGTCTTCAGGACCTGCAAGGTGACCCGACGCAGGTGTGTTGGAGTTTAACTGTGTGTTCACACTTGTCATGTTTGGCTCGATTAAAACGAACTCTGGTGCGATCGCTCTGTTAGTGCTGTTCGAGGAAGTGTGAACGCTGCCATCCGAACCCTAAGCGGACCAAGACCGCTAAAAAGATGGGTCTCGGTCCGCTTCCAAACAAACTCTGGTGCGACCAATCAGGTTGTGGACGTATGCTATGCCTTTAGCAGGGCTGTACATGAACTTTTTTTGCACATAGCACTGGCGCTACAGAGGTTGAAAGTTTTGTAGCACAGGCCAAACAGTTGTAGCACACGAATAAAACGTCTGTTATCATGTCTGAAAACAAACACAAGTAATGGAGTTCATGACTTAAACAGGCACTGATGTTCCATACAGAGCACAGAAAATACAAACCATCACAAAAATCACAAAGTTTTTTTTCTTTATTTGCTAAAAAATGGAAGAGTGCAGAAGCATAACACCTCCTACACCTCAACAAAATATTAAATAAAAAAGAATGGCAGACATTTAGGCCAAAGTGGGCAAAGATAAAAATCCTTGTCATTATTTTATCTTTGTTATAAGAAAATAAACCGTTTGGTTACCCACATTCATCAAAATATCTTCTTTTGTGTTCAGCACAAGAAAGAAATGAATACAGGTTTGGGACAACATGTGAGTGAGCAAATAATGATAGAAATAAGCGGTAGCATGTTTAGTACTGTCGCTTTAAGAGCTGCACGCATCCGGATGCAATTTGTATTCTAAGATCTTGGGCCTCATTTATAAAGTTGCGCAGAAACCATCCTAAATGTAATCTTACGATCATCTCTCAAATATGCGTATGTGTGATTCATAGAATGAACGTATGTATGTACAGAAAACGCACGTACGCCTCTCTTTCAGATGGGACATCTATAAATCGCAAATGATCTTGAACGTGAACTGAATGGTTTCAGCTCTCTGCCTTGTAAACAACTCCTAATTAATGTTAATAACATATAAAGGTTACCAGTCATCATCCAAATTGTTTCATTCAGAACAGCGAGCTGCAAGAGCAGCTTACATGTCCAAAAACCTGCAGTGGCCTACTCCGACAAGAAAAAGTGTGTACGTCGTTTGCAAATATGAGCTCTGGCGTGGATTTTAGCGTACACACACTCTAAGATCACATCTGAGCATACGCACACTTTATAAATGAGGCCCAATATGTGAACCGTTCAATTAAAAATATCACTGTTTTATCATAATTTAATAGAAGGAAACTATTATCATCTAGCCTTTAATGTATTTTATGCACTACATTAACTTATTAGACCAGGGGTTCTTAACTCTGGCCATTGAGGTTCATTTTCCAACCCTAATCAAACACACATGCACAGGCTAATCAAGGTCTTCAGGATTCAGAAAGATGCAAGCAGAGGAGTTTGATCAAGGTTGGAGCTAAACTATGCAGGAAAGTGGACCTCGAGGGCAAGAGTTAAGAAACACCTGATTTAGGCATTTCATCTGGTCCAGAAGAAATATAGAGCTGAGTATCATTTTGTATTGGGTGTAAAGTTTAGGAGCATACAATTTTAAAAGTGTTCATTTATTTTCATCTGATTTAATCACAATCAGATTTTTCAGATCATCAAAGCAAAAATCAGTAGACTGCAATGGCAAGATGAAATAAGAGTTAGCTTTTAGTTTGCTTTGACCCCAAATGATTAGATCTGTTGATATGAATTAAACCACTGGAGTTGTACTTTTTGACTGCCTTTAGGTGTTTTTGGAGCTTTGGTCTACATTCACTTGCATTGTATATGAGATATCTCTCTAAAATTCTTTGTTTGTGTTCTGCAGAAGATCGAAAGTCCAAGGTGAGTCAATGATGAGAGAACTTTTCCTTTAAATAATGAATGGAAGGCTTGCTTTCAAGTTGACTGAAAGGTATTTCAAACATTTTAGACATCTGACAGCACATACCTGATGGCATTAAAGAGTTTCTATCCCATGACAGTTAAAACCTCATTCTTTGTTTAATGTAGTGTAGCTGGAACATTCCTGTGTTGCTTTTAAAGCAGTGACTTGTGCTGCAAATAATTCTAGAAGGGTTTATCAGACTTTCTGAACTCTTAAGCTTTATTCATTATAACCTGGCTATTTACATAGTGATGAGAAAAAGCATTCTTCAAAATATCTTCTTTTGTGTTCAGCACAAGAAAGAAATGAATACAGGTTTGGGACAACATGTGAGTGAGCAAATAATGATAGAAATAAGCGGTAGCATGTTTAGTACTGTCGCTTTAAGAGCTGCACGCATCCGTTTCTCTCTCAAATGTTTACTTTCATTTTAGACATAACCAACTGTGTTTATATGTAAACCTTGTGTGTTTTTGACAGTATTAGCAAAATCAATCAGACACAAAAGATAGTCTAGTAATCAGGCATGCGCTGTGTGCGCGCGCTTCATGTGTTCGCGCTCAGAAAAAAACGCATGCTAGAACAGCACGTGAATTAAATGTTTAACCGGCAAGGCTTTAAAGCACATGCAAAAAATTTACTTTTGTGATTGTGTATCTCTACTGCTGAGTTAACATTTGTTGTGAATGTATGTCGCATTGTACACTATATTGAGACGCACGTGTGCTACAGTCGTAAATTTATTCATCGCACAGACCAGTTTTTTCGTAGCAAGTGCGACATATATGTACAGCCCTGCCTTTAGGTTTGGTATCTTTAGGTTCGCTGTCAAAAATGCTAGTGTGAACACTAACCGGATCAGGACCAAATGTACCAAGAGAACTGAACTACACATGTGAACACACCCTAACTCTGCAGGAAGGTCCTGCAAGAACAGGTTTAGACAGCCCTGTATAAGGGGGCAGGGCATTCTCATTCCAAAGAGCATTTGATTGGACAAAAAACTGTACACACCCCTGAGTGCAATATGGTGTCATCAATATTTTTTGGCCATTTTCTCTGCAAAAAAGATCATTTTGATTATTTTTGACTTCACAGGGTCTTTTTAGCACAGAATACTGTCACAATAAACGTTATTGAGGCCTGTGAGCAAACACTACCACCCATTTGATTTAGATCTTCCATCTCTAAGTATAGCATATTCTTGATGCACACAACACAATGGCAATCACTACAAACAGACATTGATAAAACACTGAGGAAGAAACAGAAAAATGGGAGAAAACACGGAAGAAAGTGAGGAATGCGATGTCATGCTGAAGATAAAGGGATGCATGAATGGAGGGCAAAGCAAAGCTGAAGGGATCTAAACACAGCATAACTACTGCAGTGCGGCTTCTCTTCTGCACAGCTGAACTGTGTGTGAATTATTCTAGCTGCCTCTGTGTGTGTGTGTGTGTGTGTGAGAGAGCCTTACATATCTGCTTTGAATAGGAGATATCAGAGGTCTTCATGAATAATTAACAGCATCCTTCCTACCATGCAGGCTAATGCCCCCCTGCACATCACATGCTTTGGAGCGGCTATCCACTTTCTTGCCTAAAACACTAGAAACCTGCAGAGTGGCTCTGAGCAGCCATCTGAAGCCCCGGTGCATTAATATAATAAAGAATAATAATGATGTCAATCTCCAATCATCTTGTTATGGCTGTTTGATCCCTTCATGAGCAAAAGGAAACCAGCTGAAGTTGAAGGAAACAGGCTCAAGCTTCTAGACCTACGAATCTGCAAACTAGGAGGAAAGAACGATTCATACCCATAAATTCAATCCCAAGATGTTCTGCCAAGGCAGACAAGGTGATGAAAAGAAAGCAAAACACAAACAAACAGAAAACAGTTGAGCGGTGATGTCAACTCTGACTGACTGCACACAAACACCACCTCCGAAAACACTGAAATCATCTCAGCATGTAGAGTACAGCATGGTACATCACACAGACACACACGACATTGGAAAATAAATAATTCAAACCTATTCTGTTTGACTTTAAACCCACCATGAATATGCATCGTTTAATGCTTTTAGAGTTCATTAAGAGACACATGGATGGTTTGTCACACGTATATAGCGATGCACATCTCTATATACAGACTCGTACGGTTGGTTGTCATCATGACACAAGGACATGCACATGCAGATGTCACTGCACTCACATCATTATAGAGACCGACCCTCCACATTTCACTACGGACAAAGTCAGACTCGGTTATTCATGTCATTACGCCAGCACATGTTTTAGATAAACATGCTGTTAAACACATGCACATCGCGGTCACCTAAACTATCTGTGACGATCAGAAAGAAAACCTGATTCTGCTTGTCTGAAACCTGAGCCAGTCACAATTTGAAAGCAATATAGCTAGCAAATTGATTCCCCCGTAACTTGAGAACAGGTTCCAGAAATATAATTTGAACTAAAAAAAGAGGTTCTCAGAAATATATAGCACATACGGATTTCTGATCAAATGACAAAAAATAATATCATTCTTAGCCATAAACACAGAATGCATAAAAATATCTCTCCAGCCATAAACTGGAGTCATATTACAATCACAAAAATGTAAAATGACCAATTTTAATATAATTTAAAATAATCACCCTTGCTTATCAATTGTTTGACTGGAATGCTGAGCTAATAATGAAGTGTTGTTAGAGGGCCAATGGTTTAGCCGTTGACTGATAGCTCTGATCTTTATCAGTGATAAATCCTCTCTGGACACTGAGCCAGAGCATCTCTACTGATGGAGGTCATGCTATGAAGGACACATTAGCAAACACTATTAATAGCTGAGAATAGATTATCTGCAGATCTCCAGTAAATTTAGCTTTTTTTTTTAGCACTTTAGATAAATCGATGGAGATGTTCTGTCTGCTCCATAATATATAAAGTCCTATTTGACGTCTCTTTTGAGCAAGGTTCATGGTGTACTGATGGGTTTCAGCAGGGGTCCTTCAGATCTGCTTCAGAGACAAGAATGAAAGAAATTATGTTTTTTACTGTGGTAGGCCACTTTAATAGGGTCATTCTCAGAGAAAGGTGCAAATTTTATACATTTAATAATTCACTTTTTTTTTTACAAATATGTTTTGAAAAAGAAATGTCATACTGGGTTATTAGGACAGATTATTATTGTTGTTGTTGTTATTATTATTATTATTATTATATTTCAATTATGAATTATAAAATATGGGAATTCTAAAGCAGTGTTATTTTAAGTTTGATTGATATACTATTTTTGTTTTTAATAATATAGTTTAATAGTTCGTTTTAATTTTATTTATTTTATTTTCATTTTATGTGCATTTGATATTTTTAATTATGAAAATATTTCTATTGAGCTTTAATTTATTTTAATTTCAGATTTAGTATATATTAAACTTATTTCAGCTACTGCAGCTGCTAATGCAATATTCCTAATTTCCATTTAAGTTTCTTTACATTTATGTTTTTCATCTAATGTTTATATTTAATTTTATTTCAGCTTAACAAATGAAAATGATTTGTAATAGTTTTAGTTTTTAGCAAACAATAACAACACTGTTCCAAACTAAAAATTTTCAAGAATTCAGCAGTATTTTTTAAAAGAAAAACGAGAACATTTTCAAGCACAAATGCTCACTGTTTAGACTAAGGACCCTTAGTCGTTTTACAGGACTAGCTCAAAAAACATGTTGATGAGCCGAGAGTAAAGTCACTGTTCATAACATATCGTGAGCCAGTTGCTGTGATTTTGTCCGCAGACAGAGCTCGATTCGTCTGTTCCTGTTAAAGTCTAAGATGATGTGAAGCAGAGAAACCCCTGATAACTAACATGTCCAGATCGATGAATGTCAGCCCTGTCTAACCATCGTCAGCTGACTAGCATCCAACAGAACAAAACTAGATTAATAAACACTAAACATGCACAGAGAAGTAATGGAAAACATAACAGAATCCCACAATAACTAGACCACAGTCTGATCTGACTTCCCGTCCATCGAGAGCACACAAACAAAGCAACAGGAGGAAGCGCTGACTGAGCATGCTCCAATCCAAGCACAGACAGGAAGAGGAAATAGACGTACTGTAGAAGCTGGCCATTACGTAGTTTTGGCAGCGATCACCAGTAAACTCATTGGGGCACCTGAGAGGGAAAGACAGAAGTCACAGAGAGAAAAGAGAGGAAGACAGGAAGTGAGTTTGACACCCAGAAGTCCCCCGCACACACGCGTGTCTCCGGTGTTGCCCGCTGAACGTCTCGCAAACGTCTCCGCTTCCAAGAGCCAATCAACAGTCAACCGTGACAGAGAGAATGCTTTGTGAACGGCGGAGGCGGCGAGGAAAACAGCGCGGAAACAGCGGCGATGGCGTGTGTGTTTGGGGGTGAAGGGAATGATCACTGACTGCACATACGTTTGGGGTCAACGACTCTCACAGGGTCTGAGGTTTGACAGCGGTTCCCTGTGTATCCTGGAAGGCCTCGGCCAAACTTTGGGATGCGGGTCTTGTAGTAATGGCCGTGCTGAGAGTGGAATTCCACATAGCGGTCTATATGCAGAAATACTAGCTAGAAGAAACAAAGACAAAGTCCTACAAATCACATTTGATTTGCTTTTCTGGTCGCATCACAACACAACTCTCAAACCTCATATTAACAGCGTCTCTGCTGACTGCAGACCTGCACACATAAAATAATACCACCTTTTTCCTAATAAGCCTACTGCGTTTTAAATTATGGGAGGCACTTCTGGTTTGGGGAAGTTCCACCCAAAAAGACTGCAACAAATCATTTCAGATCATAAGATTGCGCTACAAATAATCATTATCTGTCATTTTGACTGAATATGGGCTGTACATTTTCATTCATTTTCTATTTTCAAGAGTCAGGAGAATAACGTTTGGTATATTAATATCTATAGAATAGCTCTTTTCAGCCCCCTGCATTATTTTCCTCCTGATTATTTTCATGTTTCCTTTGTATTCCGCTGTAAGCAAATGAAAAAAGACAACATATAGCCTACTGTGCATTTGTGGTCTGCTCTCCCGATTTAATTTACGATATAAACCATGAATAATTACCTGAAATGCACTGGGAATCTTTGATTTTTCTCCCCAAATCCTCACACCTCTTTCCAGGTTTGTTTTCACACAGATGCTGTGAAATGTAATTGTTACGAAATATAGACATACAGTATATTACTATAATGATATTTAACATGTCCGTAATATTGCTGCGGATACAAGGAGGATCTTTAGGACTTATGGTATGTTTAAAGTCATTTTTTAATGCTTTTACACTTATAAATGTCCTTTTAATGATCGATGGTTGAAGGGTGAGTAAAATACTGTCACCTCATTGTACCCAGTTTTTGAAAATGCTTATTGCGTTCATAGAGAAAACCTTTTTCTGATTGTTTACAGTGTAAATGGAAGTTACTCCCATAATTAGCGCAAAGCGTCATGGGGAGCAGGAAAAAGGTGGATAAACCTTGTCACGAACCGTAAACGGTGCAATTATGTGCGCAGCACCACACTCTCTGGACTCTTTTACTATGCGATAGCGATAGATGAAGTAAACAGAATGCTTTATATTTACACATTTAGATTAAATATACCACTCTCATAAATTAAGCACACAAATGGCATGATGTAATTATCAATAAGTTACATTATTATACGTTAAAAATCGCCCCTGTTTGTAAGGCAGTAGACAGTCACTTAAAGAAGCTGCTTTTTACTCGTGCTGCTACATTAATACATGACCATTTTACTGGTTCTCTTCTGGTTAGTATTTATTCATTTTAATCTCTAAAGGTCCATTCAGCTGACCGGCTGCTCTCTGGTGACACTGCGAGCGCTCAAAAACACAGCCGCAGAGCTCCAGCTGTGCGTCTGAAAGGAGTTGAACAGCTGGAGCATCTGTCTTTCTCAACAGAGAGAGTGAAGGCCTCCATATACTTCTGGTGTGATGTCATTTCAAACGAAATAAAGTTCATTTCGGGAGCTCGGAACAGCTTTCCAGAACAAACTTTCTGAAAAAGTGTGCTCCAGCTGGTAAAAACCTTCGAACTACTTGATAGGTATGTGTGCTCTGGGGCTCCATCATCTTTAATGTGGAAATCTTCTCTGGTTCATCTCACCCTCATCAGTTTTGTTCAGCGTTTATTTAGTTATTGAGAGAAAGTGTGCAGTACATACACTGCCATTCAAAAGTTTGGGATCAGTAAGATTTTTAATAAGTCTCTTATGCTCATCAAGGCTGTATTTATTTGATTACAAATATAGAAAAACAGTAATATTGTGAAATATTATTGCAATATCTAATATTGGTTTCCTGTTTCAATATACTTTAAAATATAATTTATTTCTGTGACACTGTCTTCAGTGTCACATGATCCTTCAGAAATCATTATAATATGTGATTTATTATCAGTGTTGAAACTGTTGTTTTTTGGAAGCTGTGATGATTTTTTAAGGATTCTTTGATGAATAAAAAGTTCAAAAGAACAGCATTTATTCAAAATAGAAATATTTTCTAACAATATAAGTCTTTACTATCACTTTTTATCCATTTAACACATCCTTGCTGAATAAAAGTATCAATTTCTTTAAAAAAAAAAAAAAAGAAAGAAAAAATTTACTGACCCCGAACTTCTGAATAGTAGTGTATTTTGTAACACAAAACGTCTATGTTGAATAAACACTATTCTTTTTAACATTTTATTTATCAAAGAATCCTGAAAAAAGTATCACAGGTTCCAGAAAATATTAAGCAGCGCAACTGTTTCCAACACTGATAATAAATCTGCATATTAGAATGATTTCTGAAGATCATGAGACAGGAGTAATGATGCTGAAAATTCAGCGCTGCATCACAGGAATAAATTATATTTTGAAGTATATTAAAATAGAAAACTGTTATTTTAAATTGCAATAATATTTCACAAAATTAAAATTTTTTCTGTATTTTTCTTCAAATAAATACAGCCTTGATAAGCATAAGAAACGTCTTTAAAAAACATTAAAAATCTGCTAGGGGTGTAAGTATATGTATTCGTACTGACATTTTTTGGTATCGGTATCAGTTTCGGTATTTCATTCAATAAATGCCGTTTTGATGCTCGTTGATGTGTGAGATATATGTGACTCAGTTCAAGGCAGCACGGATTGGAGTAGGAACATCATTTTTTTTAGATTTAGAAGTTAATGTAAAAACTGCCTTGTGTGCAGTTTACATATTTGCATAGAAATATTTAATTTGAGTGTTAATTATATCTAAAAATAAATAAAAATGAATTTAACAGTTTGGGCTCTAAGTGTAACCTTTAATATTATAGTACTGTGTAAGTAACAGGGCTCCCTGTATGCAGCCATTATTTGTTCAGTAAACCACTATTTAATAAAAAGGGAAAAAAGAAGCAATTTTATGTTTAGCTTTTCCCCCTGCTGTACAGAAACCGTACCAAAGCATTTTTTGTGTGTACCGTTACACCCCTAATATTTGCCTATTAATTTAAAGGCGACTCCCAGCAGTGTGATGAGTCAGGATGCTCTTTTTATCCTTCAGTGAAGAACAAAAAAGCTGAGTATATCGGTGCCTTTACACAATAAGAAGATAATGAGAGGACACGTTAACAACTAGATTTTTGGTTTTCCCCGAGGACAGTGTGAATAGGGTTGGACATCCAAAAGTCGCTTTGATGCTAGGGTGTTGTGGGTGGTTGCTAGGGTGTTGCTAGGTGATTTTCATGAATTTCTGGGTCAACATGAAAAAAGTCCACCTGTGATCTTCTGGTCTCTAGATATGGCTCGGCTTCCTCCGTCAATGTGCTTGGACATTCCCCTTCGTGGGACTTTTTCTCCTGTTTTATCATCCAGTAAGTAGTGTGTCTGATCACTTAGTAAAGTACCAACACACCTCTCATGTCTGGAGCACACACTGAACATTAATACTTACTTTAGTCTGATCAAATCACTACTAGTGATACTTGACTTGGCACTACATCCACGTGTTTGTTAAGGGTCACGCGGCCCCTGATGGAAAGAGATCTACAGTCCCAGAGGAGCGCTGCTGTCTGACTGCGACTCATGGGGGTCGCTAGGCCATTTTTAGGGGGGCTATAGCGATTAGCTCCATAAACTGTACACGAATTCGTGATCGCCTCAGTCCCCTTTAATTTTCATATGAAAACGGCGGCAGACTTCGATCGGCTCCTCCCCGTCTTTCAGCGCGTTATTTTTCAATCCGCTGAATGCGGCGGTGCAGATCGATAGATTGTTATAATTTCTGCATCTGTGCAGTTCTTTGTCATAATACATCCAGTTTACAAAATATCATGGGGGAGCAATAATCGGTTTCAAATCTACTGTAGCCTAAGTTTTCACTGCGTTCACCCTTCATCACACCACAGCTGTTTCCTCCAGCGAAAATGAAGCACATATGAACGCATAAAACGATCATGTTGCCATTTTAATTTGAAAATGTAACTTTCAATATAATACATATTCCAGTGCATGTGGTAAAGAGGTTTAGACTTGAATTTGGCTTATTCAGTACTCAAATGTTACACCTATCTGTGCAATACAGTGGAATACTGCAATAAGTTTAGTATACGACCTCTAATAATCAAAAAGTTTTATTTTATTTATATAGGCTATATATATATTTATTATTAGGCTATTATTATTATTATACCCTCACTGGGGGCTGAGCCCCCCTAAAATGAAAATCCTAGAATCGCCCCTGCTGCGACTGCATTTAGAGAAGCTCCTCTTGACTGCAGTGCTTACTGATGAGAACAGAGTCCTGACTTCAGCACTCGGGTTTGTGCTTATTCACCGAATTGGACAGTAAGAGCATGAATACCCCAGAGAGTGCTGTCAGAGAGAGCCATGCACGCAAAAAACCTTCGCTAGCAGTATGTGATCTGAAATGAGGAGGCAAAGTCCTCACTGCCTTTTAGTTTAATCCAATGTAAAGTAATGTTCCAGTTATAGCATAACTAATGTTACCACATCTTTCAGGTTAAATAAATAAATGTTGCTACACTTTCAAAAAACCAACAGACAATACAATTTTAATTTGTATTATTATATTACAAATGTTTTATTAATCAAAACTAAGAATATATCTCATCAAGTTTTTTAAGCATTTTTACATTTATTCCAAAATAGTAACTATAAGAACACAGAGCAACTTTCAGATTTCATGTCTATTTTTATTTGTGAATTGATGCTTAGCTGTTATCTTTAATAGTCAGAATCAGTATTTAATGTTTTTTTAATTTTGTAGAAATCGAGTAATCAGAAACATTACCAAACACTAGAATTAGACACTTTGACAATATGCAAATGATAAAACCTGTAACCAAAACCTGTACCTACTACTGTATGTTTGATATTTCATGTTTGCATCATGGTGACAGACTGAAAGCTGCTGTTGTTTTTACAGAACATTTATAGTTAATAATAGGCTACTGGTGTCTACCTTGACTTTTGAGAATTTTTTAAAAAGCATTTTCCTCGTATTATTTCTGAACACATAATAAGACAAGTTTGTGCAAGATGTAGTTGTAGTTCATGCATCTTTTCTGCAAATATATTTAACAAGTGATTTGTTTAACATTTACATCATGTTGACAACTTCATGTGTGCTGCACTTTGAATAGAATTTTCTTTAACTAGAGGGTTAATAAAGAAAAAGTTACTTGAATCATGTTGTAGTTACATTTTCAAGTTGACTAGTTAAAAAATTGTCAAAATTGAGAATCGGTCAAACGTTCTGAAAAAAATCTAGATTTTTATTTATTTTTTGCTTTATCGCCCAGCCTTATTCAGAACAATTTATTCAGAGGTACACTGTAAAAAATGACCGTGAATTTGTATTTTTTACGGTAAAATTCCGGCAACCACAGCTGCCGTTTTTTTACCGTAAATTTAACAGAATTTCTTTTACAGTGTAGGATTTATTGCATGAACAGTGTAAAAGGCCAATCATAGTGGTTTGGAGGCATTGCCTCCTCTCACATGACTTTTCCCCATTTGTTCTCAATTACTCAACCCAGGATCATTCGAAATACGTGCTTCTAAATACATTTCTGCAACACCATTATTACATACCTTACTAAATGTTTCGCCGCAGTTTTAAAATGAAACGTGGGTGGCGCTAAAACGTTCAATACGTGACCCTGGCAGCCTAAACCTTCCCGATAGTGTTAACACACGCAAAAGTGATATAAAACGTATGTGTTCATGCTATTTTTACTTCCTTATGCGGATTTGAGCTGTCTTGTTTGAACCGTAGTTTAACAGGGTTCGTTCATCACTGAAGAGCGTGAGCTACCAAGCAAACCAACTGAGTTAGAAAACTCATGCATATGAAGCTGTATATGTGACGACAACGTTCAAAAGTATCAGTTTTCAAATCTCGCAGCATGTTAAAATTGTTTTGAATTCATAACATAATATTCCTCAAGTAAATTTAGGCGTTATAAATCGAAACTGTGGACCTGCAAATCATATTTTGTGTGGAAAGGAATAAAAGTTGTGGGAGTTTTACTGCCTCTAGAGTTCATTTCAACTGGAAACTGCAGCGATTCGTGTGTATAGGTATGTTTTTTGAGTTTTGCAGAAATGTAGGTAGAGGCACGTGTTTCCAATGAGCCTATGCTGCAATTACCACCCACCAAACCCTTTATGCTTTGCTTTTTCGGTTAAAACCCAATGAGCTCAGAGGAAGCAAGAGAAGACAGCGCCTCCCACTGCAACTTCAACAGCTGGTGTCGCTGGTCCTTTTTTTTTAAAGAGTGATATATCGGCATTGTTTTACAGTATGTTGTACTGTGGATATTTTCTCATTTAATTATTTGAGGAGGCATTACCTCTCTCACGCCACTGTCTGAGAATCAAACCTCAAATAAAATTACTTGAGAAAAACACGTTCACAGTATAATCTCTCAGTGTTAAACGCGTGCGGATGAGCAGCTGTACCTGCAGAGGCGTCTGATGTTGCCGGGTGTGACCTCCAGCGTGAAGCATTCGCCGCCGTTCACGCAGTAGTTCCTCTCGCTCTCACTGCAGCGCGTCACATGACTGGAGGTCTTGGCTGAGGGAGTGGTGCTGGTGGCCGCTGCACAGATCAACACAACACATAAGTGCACTGAGCAGGGAACAGTTTTACTGCAGAAAATCAATGATGAGGTGCAGCAAGTTTGTTAGAGCTTCAATGCACGGCATGATTAGTTTAGAGCTTCTGTGAACAGTAACACTATGTTAGTGCAACTAAGCAAATTAAGAGAAAGCAAGCCCACATATGCTGAAAAGCTTCTTTCTCAGTGAGAGATAGTTGGTTTATGCAATGTTGAGACTAAAGATTGCCCACATGAAAGATGTTTCTGACTTATGAAATGACATGTTATTTGCAATGCAGAAAGACAGTTTTTAAACTGTTAAACTGTTTAAAGTTGTTAGAAGATCTATGCACAGCAAGTTATGTTAGAGTTTCAATGCACAGCATGATTAGCTTCACTAATCTAAGATCAAGGGTCTGAGCTGCAGATCATGACATGCACAGTATGGGTGTCTAATTCAAATGACCTTCACAAAATATCTGCTAAATATAAGACGAGTAGGAGAGAAGGCCATCAATGAACATCAGGCTGTTGAGACCGAAATAAATGCAATATTTCTCAACAGCTACTTCATTACACGCCTACACAGAGTCAAAGACGAGCAACATTCAAATAATTATGTTTCTGCTCAAATATAGCCATTTACAAAGCAGCACTATCATGCAATGCCGTGATTTAGTTTTAAGCATGTGACAGTTTCAAACGAACACCAATTCTAGAAATCTGAACAGCATCAAATAATATCACTCCGTACCTGTAACATTTCGATAATATCTGGATATATGAAAGCGCATCACTGCTGTGTGTCGACAACCACTGGGATGACAAAGTGTTTCCCTGAGCCCTTTAGATCTCCTGCCTTCCTTTGCACTTCCTCCAGCCACAGCGGTCTTGCAAAGTCCCTGCTCATCAACATTTTTAACTGAGCACCTCTACACCAGCTCACGCGTCACATCTGGCATTGCGTCTCTAATGCGTCATCAATGCAGCATTGAATAATCAAAGTCGTCACAACCTGGCCGGCCCTCTTAACTGTATTGAATCTGTACTTATAGCCCACTTCAAATCTTAAAAGTATATTTTTAAAAACTGTACTTTTAGATAATATATGAAATAAAAGGTCGCTTAAGTAGAGTACACTTTCATGACTGTTTCTTAACACACTTAAGTGCACTTTTAAAGTCACCATAAAATCTAAATGGACAATTCTTACTTTTTTTGTGGAACATGGCAGTGTTTATTATAAATTATTTTATCTGTGCACATTTTTTTTATATACACTGCCCTTCAAAAGTTTGGGATAAGTAAAATTAGAAATATTTTTTAAAGAAGTTTCTTCTGCTAATCAAAAATGCATTTAATTTAATAAAGAATACAGAAAAAGAGAAATATTGTGAAATATTATTGCAATTTAAAATACCAGTTTTCTATTTTAATATACTTTAAAATGTGATTTATTCCTGTGATGCAGCGCTGAATTGTCAGCATCATTACTCCAGTCTTCAGTGTCACATGATCTTCAGAAATCATTCTAATATGCTGATTTATTATCAGTGTTGAAACAGTTGTGCTGTTTAATATTTTTTTGCAAACTGATACTTTTTTCAGGATTCTATGATGAATAAAAAGTTAAAAAGAACAATATTTATTTAAAATAGAAATCGTTTGTAACAATATACACTACCATTCAAAAATTTTGGGTCAGAATTTTTTTTTTTTTTTGAGTACAGCAAGGATGTGTTAAATTGATAAAACGTGATAGTAAAGACTTATATGGTTAGAAATTATTTCTATTTTGTATAAATGCTCTTCTTTTAAACTTTTTATTAATCGAAAAATCCTGAAAAAAGCATCACAGTTTCCAAAAAAAAAAAAAAATATTAAACAGCACAACTGTTTCCAGCACTGATAATAAATCAGCATATTAGAATGATTTCTGAAGATCATGTGACACTGAAGACTGGAGTAATGATGCTGAAAATACAGCGCTGCATCACATAAATAAATTATATTTTAAAGTATATTAAAATAGAAAACTGGTATTTTAAATTGCAATAATATTTCACAATATTTCATTTTTTTCTGTATTTTTGATCAAATAAATGCAGCCTTGATGAGCATAAGATACTTCTTTAAAAACAATAAAAATCTTACTGATCCCAAAATTTTGAATGGCAGTGTATATATAAATTCATATTTCCTTGTAATGTTTTTTCAAAATAACTTTCCCTCTCCTTGCAACAACATCTCCTCTCTGATGACGTAAAAAAGTAATATACTTAAAATACATTTATTTCTAAGTATAGTTCAAATCTATATTTCTATATAGTTATTGACATATTGCTCAAGACTTACTGAGATAAACATTATAATTAAACTCTATTTGGAGTACAACTTGCGCACAATGCACATTTCTTAATATTACGCCTAAAATGTGTTTTAATGTCGCTATTTACAAGGATTGCATGATCTTTGAATAATATCTGTCTTTAAATGCAAGATATTTACATTTACATTATATTTACATTTAGTCATTTTGCAGATGCTTTTATCCAAAGTGACTTACAAATGAGGACATTTAAAGTATATTTAAAGTGCACCTGGAGTATACTTGCATTGCAATTTAGTTCCACTTTAGCACAATCAAATATACTTCTTTAGCTGGACTTCTACTTTCGCACTATTAAAGTGCATTAAGCACAAAATTAGTTGTTCCAATTTAGCAGACTTTAAGTATACCAGTTTAGTGTACCAAAAGTGCAATTGAAGAGTATTTTTATTAAATATATAAATATGTAAATGTATTTGTAGTAGACCTAGCATGAAATAAATGTATTTCAAATACATTTTAGTATATTTATTTTTCACTAGGGCAGAGAGGAAAATTTGGCTGTATATTTTATCCACATTTCGAAGACAATACATTTATTTGCATTTAATACAAATTTAAACTATACTAAATGTTCTTTTAATTCTAAATAACATGCAAGTAAGTCCAAAAAAAATTACATTCAGCTTACAGTGTTAGTACTTTTTAAAATTGTATTTCTTTTTCAGAAGGGAAAAAATGAGCACACATGTTCTGGACATCAGTCCTTCTGTCACACACACACACACACACACACACACACATGTTGTGTATTCATCACGTTATGGGGACATTCCATAGGCGTAATGGTTTTTATACTGTACAAACTGTATGTGCTACTGCCCTACACCAACCCTACCCCTAAACCTACCCCTCACAGGAAACTTTGTGCAATTTTACTTTCTCAAAAAAACTCATTCTGTATGATGTATAAGCTTGTTTCCTCATGGGGACCTCAAAAATGTCCCCACAAGGTCAAAATTTACTGGTATTACTATACTTGTGGGGACATTTGGTCCCCATAACGTGATGAATACCAGGTGCACACACACACACACACACACACACACATACACACACACACACCTGCAATCCTTTAGTATCTGTCACCATTAAGGGACTGATGACAACCCAGCCGTGAATTCCACCGATTCCCTGCGTGACTGACTGAGAACCTCCTGAAGTTACTTCATGACTTCACATACTAATGGCTCTATTTTCTGCTTTTAGGACCAAACCGATTCCACCAGGAAATATCCATAGCCTTCTCTAACCAGCTCTGACAAGTTACTCTCATTTACGGGCCGGGACACATGGCCACATCCGGCCGTCCTGACTTCCCCTCGACACTGTCGATACTGGACATCAGCCACTGAAGGTATGATGAAGATGAGCAGATTAGAATAAAACTCAGGCTTCATCCTGATAGATAATTGAGTTAGATTCGTAGGTCACAGACCCCATCAGGTGACCACTGAAGCAGGAGACATTCTGCCTTTGAGCTCCATGTAATTCAATCTTTACCATCCGAACTGCTGATGTTTGAGACAACCAGCGCTGCATGAATAATTGACAGCGTAACAGATTGCTTTTGTCCCGTTAATCTAATTGCCGTTTTTCACTCCCATTAAACCTGCAGCATTAGTGATCAGGCACATTTTATCATCCGTCACATCACAACAACGTTCAGTGTTTTCTGAGGACGGGAAAGTGACGTGCATTTGCATACGACTGACCGTCAGAAAACGCCAAATCAAAAGACTGTAGAATGGCAAGATTTTAAATAGACACTATTCATGCGATATTGGCATTTTGGCAACCTGCGCTCACAGTGACGGGCACCTCAACTGTCAGCAAAACAGCAGGAGTGCATTTGAGCCTTTTCAAGGTGAGAGACATGAGCCAAATCACGTATGAGCACATCTCAATGCAGCCAAAGTCTGGCGGCAAACAGCGAAGATGCTACAAATAAACATGAGTGATGAGCAAAGGAGAGGAGGGACAATTGGGTTGCTGTGTAACCTTCATGCTTGTACTTGAGTCTTTTGACATGTTAATGAACACCGACCTGGTCATAAAGAAGGAAATTCCCAGGAAAATTCCCAAGGTTTAGTCAAGTGGTGGCTGAAATGGAGTTGACATATAACTTGACTTTCCATGGACTTTCCATCGAGATTTTAGTTTAAAACTAATATGAATTTAAAAAGTCAAGTCAAGCTTTTATTTATATAGCACTTCATACAGTACAGATTACTGCAAAGCAGCTTTACAGGGATACAGAAGAAAAACATGATTTAATGATGAAAACACAATTCAATTGTGCTGTAAAGCAGCTCTAAAAAGTCTGAAATAAGTTGAAGTACTAAAATTACTCCAGCAATAATTGAAATTAAAAATAACTAAACAATACAAAAACTAATAAAAGGACAAATGCATAACAATAACATAACAAAACTAAAATGCAAGCTAAAAATAAAAATAAAAGCCAACTCAAAATATTAATATAATATAATAGTACATCAAATATAATAGTATATAAATATATAAAACACTAAAATAATATAGCATAGCTGTGCAGTTATAGAACATTAAATTAATTTAGTTGTAACTTGAGTGAAGCATCAGAGTCAA